ATTCATAATAATGAATTTTTTATTTGAAATATCTCCACATACTAAATTAACTCAAGTTTTGCAAAAACATAACAAAATGAAGTCTATTATGATTATCCTAGAATTTTAGTCCTGTCCACCAATGTTACAAAGTAGGTTTTATTATAGATCAAGATATGTATTAATAAGGTACCAAGAGAACTCTGTAGGTTAGTCAGGCATCAAAACTTTTTATCAACAAAAATGTTAGTAAAAGCATAGAGCTACTTTACCTCTTCTTCTAGCTCCTTTGCTACTTTCTCTAGGCGAGTATTAATAGATCTAAAGAATTTAAAAGAAAATAGTAAATAAAATAACTTTCTCCTAATTTACAAAAGAATTTACCATAATTTTTAAAATACTCATATAATTACATTTTTAGTAATATGTTTTAAACTTAAATTTTACAATATACTATTTAATTATCTAACAAAACATACTTGCACTTCTGCTCTAGTTCCTCTTTGGCTTGTATCTCAGTTCTAAGGTGTTCTTCTAATGTGTATAGTTTTTTCTGAATCTGTCAGAAAACAAAAAACTATAATTATAAAGTTTAGTCACACTTAAAAGATGAGAAGCTTAAAAAAACACCAATAATCAGCTTCTCTTTTCTTTTTACTTAATATAATCTCTATAATGGTACAGTATTTGTACCTTCTTAATGTGAGTTTTATTGACAGAGTGAAAAAATCCCCCATCTCTTGCTCTCTGTCTATTAGAGTATACATGTATGTGTGAATGCATTTCGTAAACATGATGGGAAGCTCTAATGTTGGCAGAATTCTTCTATGACACCAAGTTTCTCATTCATTATGAATAAAGGATATCCTCCACTGTTCTTCTGAAAATTATTTATTTGAAAATATTATCACCACTTTTGCTTATAAGATAAAAATTCTACATATAAAACAAATATTTGGAATATTTGAATGATATTGATTAAATATATGTCAGTGTTCTTAAAAAATAAGAATATAAGCTCTTGTTTGTATTTTCCTACACAGTACCAGGCACAGTACTGTAAAGTTGTAATCAATGACTTTTTTAGATAAATAGTGAATTAATTACAAGTTATCTCCCTGCCATTCTTTAAATCTTCTTCAAGGCCAGCTATGTCAATCTTCAAACAAACTAAAATGACAGCAAGTATTAAATAATCCACTTTTGAAGCATTATCACCTTTATAAAGGATTTGACTTTTTGAGTTCCTTTTGTGCCTTGGGTACAGCGGCAGGCACTTGACTCATTAATCCTAATAAAAACCCTATGAAGATGGTAGTGTTAAATCTACTAAATAAAAAAACTAAGATCCAAAAAAGGTAAATAACCGGACCAAGATAGCATAGCTAATAAGTGGCAGTACCAAAAATCAACCCAAATCTATTAGATTCCAAGGTCGATGTTCTTTCCACTATTCTTTCTGATTAGGTTCTCCACGGTTTCTTAAATATCTCATATATCTTAAGCAAAGATAGGAATATACAGGCCAATGACCTAGTCAAATTTAACTCTATTGCATTAATACAATTTGATCACACTATCACATGGTAATCAGAAGTTCTTGCTGCCAATTATATGTCCTTGATAAATAAAAACAAGAAAATTACATTTACCGTATTTGCCGGCGTATAAGACGATTTTTTTGGCCCTGAAAAATATGCCTCCAAGTGGGNTTTTTAAGACATGTCACAGTGAAAATTTGAGTTTTCCTTGGATCCCTAGCGAGAAGCATCTTCACTATATACTCCAAGACAGTGTCCCCCCTTTACAAGCATCTAACATACTGAAGGCTGCCTGTGAAGTGTTACAACAAGCCTTAACAATATATATCCCTCATCTACAGAACCAAGTCTAAATATGAGAGTCCATGAATATGCGGAAGTATTTCAGTTCCGGATTTCCTTTATTCTAGAATAAGTTTTCCAGTCTGAAACTCTCTCTAGTCATTTTCTTACACAAATATAAGCTTAACATACTTTACCTTTTCCAGATCAGTAAATCTCTCATGTAGTTGTCTCTTCTCCAGTTCTACTTTTGCTAATAAGATTTTGCCATTCTTTAAATCTTCTTCTAGGCCAGATATTCTACCTAAAATTGCAACATTTTAAAAAACAATAAACCCACCAAGTATATATATTAAGAATAAAAAATCTGGACAACATCTCATACTTTGGAGCTATTATTTATGAGAAGTTTTATAATTGTTGGTATAGTTGAGATACTGCTTTATAGTTAATTCAACTGGAACCAAATCTACCACATTGGGAGCTGGTTTGATACTTAAAATACTTCAAACTATTTGAAAGTAAATCTTTCGTTCATAAAATTTTCTATTGGGTTGTCAGGAAAGTCATGACACATTTTTGCAACGAACAACATGGAAAAATATGTCATGATTTTTCTGACAACCCAATATTAATGTATTTCTAATACCCTCACTTTACATAACAGAGTAGCATATTCAGAAATGTGCTACTTCAGCACATTAGTCATCATCTAAAGTTATTTCTAAAATATGAATAATCAAGATGAATTCAATCTCTATTTTTATACCTTGTAAATCATTAATTATCTCTGATCCATGGGTACGGTCCCTTCTTTCAGATTCTAGAACCGATTGGAGATTGATAAATTCCTTTTCAAGTTTTAACTTGGCAGTCTCCAGGAGGCAATTCTTATCTTGTAGATCTCTATTGTTAGATTCCAGCTGCTGAATCTGTTTGGAACTTTCTGCCTGGGTTTTTCTTAACCGGGCTGCAGTATCTGATTCTGTTCGCAGCAAAGCACTGGTTTCATCCAGCTGTGATTCCATTCAAAAATCAAATAAACAACAACAAACACAAGTGTATATAATGAAAATACTCAGTACCACATTACAAAGTATTTAAAATAAACAAAAACCTACAAATATTTCCTAGTGATTTCCCTTTAAAATTAGAGGGAAATTCCTTTAGCAACATTTCCAATTAAAACTGTTAATAGGCAGTCATAAATAAAATTCAATATCCTTATTACAAATTAGGGTCAACCTACTTGTCTCTGGAGTTGATTCATTTTCTCAGTGGATATTTGAGAGTTCTGATTTCTTTTTTTCAAGTCTTCAAGTTGATCTTTTAAACTGTTAACTATGATAAAAAGCATGTCAGTGGCAAGCTTCAACACAACACACACACATACACACGTACACTTAATATTTTTCTTGATAAGTATTTAATATTCTACACCACAAACCATCATTTTCCAAATTCCGTTTCTTGTCTGCTTCATGATCAGCTTTCCGCTGATATTCTGCATTTTTGTGCTGAAGAAGCGCCTTTTCTCTTTCTAATTGTCTTAATGCTGATTCCACATTTTTCCTTAAGGTAATCTGAAATATTGCTTGAAGTTATTATCAGAGGAAAGTATGTATAAATATCAAATGAAAACAAAAAATATTGCAGTCATTTCAAGCAGATTTTTAAAAATCTTTAAAAACCACTGTAACTGCTGTATTGTTAAAACTACAATACTGCTGTCCATGTTTTTAAAATAGCACACTACTCTTAAACAATCAAGACTATAAGTGTTGTTTACTACTGGAAGTTAAACTTTCGAAAACACTCCATCACCACTGAACCACCTTTATGTAGTA